AGCAAACCTTCAAGGTAATTAAGGCCGTTGGATTTCTCTTTTCCATTGTTGGATATCAAAAGTTCTTGATCACTTGTAAATGCAGAGAAGTTGGTGTAAAGCATCCGAACCCATTTAGCCTTTAAGAAAGAAAATACAATCTTATTAACCTTAATCCACATTTTAAAAAAATAATAAAAAAAGGTAGAGAGAGAGAGAGAGAGACCCTCGTGGGCGCCGGGCCAAGGGGGATTCTAGCTCGAGTAATCACACCGAACTGACCCAAACCACCAAGGGCACCGTAAAAAAGCTCGGGATTGTTGGTAGGAGAGCACGTCAACAATTCTCCTTTTCCTGTCGTTCAAACGAAAGCAACTATTAACTATAGTTTAAGATATACTTTCCTTTTAAAATTCAGAGATTCGAACCTCTAAATGTTGAACAAAAAGAAAATATGTGTTTTTTTTTAATTAAATAATATACCATTTTTCCAACCCCATTAATTGTGTAATTAATGCATAATATCCAAATAATTAGGGATTTTATTCTCTAAAATTAAAATAATTCAAATCGAAAATCATTACTCTTTCCATGCATGGCATGGTAAGAAGGGTTATAAGGTAATTAAGGCTTGGTAACGACATGGTAAGAAGATTTATATGGTAATTATGGTTTGATAATGGTATGGTAAAAAGTTTTATTATAAGGTAATTAAGGCTCGGTAATAGTATGGTAAGAGAGATAATTGGGTCAACGATACTTTTACCTATGAATTTCTTTATTTTATTATTAATTTCTTACAATATTTTTAAAAACCAAATCAAGTCAACATTTTTGTTTTCCAAATTTCACTAAAAATTTATTAAATATTTTTTAAAAAAAAAACATATTTTAAACAAATATTATATTTATTAGAAAAAACGGGTTTTTCCTGCTTATGAAAAATGTTTCATTCACCTGTCCAACTAACTAGGGATCTCACAATCCACCCCTTGAGGGCTAGTGTCCTCGCAGGCACACCACTCGATGTCTAGCTCTAATACCATTAAGCTCACTGCTACTGCTAGTATATATTGTCTGGTTTGGAGATTCTCTTCAAGGGTTTCCCTCAAAATTTTAAAACGCGTCTACTAGAGAGGGAGGAGGATCCACGCCCTTACAACGAAGGTTTAGTTCCCCTCTCCAACCAATACGAGATCATACCGAAACAAAGATTTAGAGAGATACCAGTTACTACGTCAAGTTCAAGAACATTGCTGATCTGAGGCCCAAACCGAAACGTCTGACCACCAATTCCGGCGTTGGACAGCGTCCCTCCGACGGTGAGACGCAAATAATCCGTCCACGACAACGGGCTAAGCCCCTTCGCCATCGTCGCATGCAACACATCAATCCACAGCTGCTCGCCGCCCACGTCAGCATACGGACCCAACGCCGTCGTAGTCGACACCACAATTCTGCCGTCCAAACCGCCGAGCGACGTCATATTCACCACAATCCCGTTCTCCACCAAGGACTGCCCCTGGACGGAATGCCCACGACCGCGGGCAGCGATATTCATCGGCGTCGGACTCCCATTCATGAACTGTATCAGCCCGGCGATGTCGCTGCCGTTCACCGGAAAGAAAACGCCGTAAGGTTTCTCTTCAACAATCCGGCCATAATCCGTGGAAGCCAATTTAATCGTCTGGGAATCATTTCTGAGCTTCGCCGAGATGGGCTCCGGTAGAGGCAAAGCCACTGCCAAAAACGGTGCGTTTTGGAGGATAAGAACACAATTGAAAATTATGAGCAGAAAATTATTGTGCGCCGCCATTTTCTTTCAGAGTAAGAGATGAAGAAGAAAGCATATAAAACAATTCATATTTATAGAGAGAAAAAATAAACAAACAATTAATTCTATAATTAAAAAAAATATATTTTTTGGTATCCAAAAATTTAATTTTTAAATAATGGGTATTAAATTCAATATTAGATTTTATTATAAAGATTTAAAGAATATTATCATTAAATTTTAATACATTTTCTAAAATACACTCGTGTGCAGTTTAGCAAAACACTCTGTCCTCCAATTACAGATCAGCACGTGTCAAATATTTCTTTAAATATTTTAATATTGTGGGCCTATTAATTTGCATGTTTTTTTCAAAATGTATTTTTAATTTTTTTTCCTTAAAAACCTCTATTTTTATGGAGTGAATCAATTATATTGTTTTTATGTATAATTAAATTTTTGTTTATGTATAACTTTATTCTTTCTCATTGAAATAAATTAAGTTGTAACAACCTCAACCGAATACTAATTGACTACGTGGCTGTTATTTTTGATGTTTATGGATAGGTCCACTTGTGACTATGTAATTTTGTCCTTTCTCGTTAAAATGTGAAATATTTATTTTCAAACGTTGAATAACCGTTCAATTTCAGTAATTATTCCAAAAGATTACATTTCATAGATTCAAAATTTTATTTTTAATAAAAAAATATATTTTTATTTATTTATTTGAACTCAACTCGTCTGAAATAGGTTGATTGATTGTTCAAGTCACCGACCTTTTGAACGCACTACCTTACAATGTATTGACTTAAAAGAATCTAACGATCTCTTATCCGAGTATATCAATCTAAATCTCTCTTTTATATATATATATATACACACTCACATATATAATAACAAGTGATTATATGTTTGTAACTCAATAAATGGTTGGAAGAGCATAATAATATTTTGAGTTTGAAGGGATTTACTGCTTCTAAGAATGATGATTATCTCCACAGAACAACATGGGTCACTTCTGCATGTTGTCCTTGCTTACATGTTTTTTAGGAAAATCTCTAGGAGGTCACCCAACTGAGTATTGCTTCAAGCAAAACATGCTCGACTTTAGAGTTCCTAGTCATCTATGCTTAGGATTGCTCTAATTCAGATGTGGTTCAAGTTCATTCATATACATCTCCATTACTACCCTTAAATAATCGTCAACATGAATATAATTCAACTGCTTAAGACAAATACTCATAAGTAAGAGATTAATTATCTAATTATACAAATTTGTGAAGGTTCCTAGAAAAATAATGTGTAACTATCCTAGATTTTTAGTAACGGGGTGATGTGCCAGCGAGAAGGCTAAGCCCTAAGGGGGTGGACACTAGGCAATGTACCAGCAAGGAGGTTGGGTCTCGGAATAGATTGGGAGGTCCCACATCAACTGGAGATAGGAACGAGTGAGGATGCTGAGTCCGGAAGGGATTGTGAGATCGAACATCAGTTGTGGAGGAGAATAAGCATTTCTTACAAGGATGTGAAAACCTATTTCTAGTAGACGTGTTTTAAAACCTTGAGGGAAAGCTTAGGAAGAAACACGTAAAGAAAACACTATCTGCTAGCGGTGGGCAATAAAAAAACATATAATCTCATTAGATAATGAAATGTGAAGTCCCCAAACACCGATATAAAACAAATACAAAAGAAAAAGAAGTCCGCCATCGAATCAGGTTATGTTTTTCAAATCCGATCTCAGAATAGCGTAACATAATATTCAAATGAATATACAACAAAATCAGGTAAGAGATTAAATTAGAAGGAAATAGAATTACAATTTATATTCATTTAAACACTAAATATATTATACCGTATAGTGCCTAAGAAAAAGGTCGGCCTCGATTTCGTCTTTATTCTTTTTAAATTATCGATTTATAGAAATATATCTAAACTGAAATTAACCATAAAGGAAATGTAATGACCTTACGTAAAAATTTTAAAATATACTAATAATTTATTTTTAATCAGTTGTTAATCTAACTGTTTCTGAATAATTATTTTGTAAATTAAATATTTAATGTTATTAATTTTTTTAAAAATATTTATCAATGTGTGAACATAATTCATTGAAATTTAATCTAAAATATGAAGTTTATAAACAAACGAAAATGATTCTTGTGTTGAATTGGTTCAATCAAAGTTGTAAATGAATTATTATTATCATTATATTTTAAAATTTTTACGAATACGTAAAAATTGGTTCGATTAAAACTATTTTATTATTATAAAATTTAACATTAATCACTTTTTTTTATTTAACTAAAACATTTTATTAAAAAAATTGTGTTCTAGAAAAGGATTTAAAGAACAAATATATTGCAGAAAAGTTAATGATAAAATAAGTAATCTACATGTGTGCTGTAACAGCCTAAATCCACCGAGCAAATATTATTTTCTTTAAATTTTTTATTTTCATTTCAAGTTTACCCTCAAAATTGGTTATATAGAGCATCTACTAAAGAGAAGTTTACACACCCTTATAAAGAATGCCAATATGGTATCTCACCCTTGATTCCTAAAACTCTAAACCAAAGAGAGAGTAGGCTTAAAACAGTGAACCAAAGGCCCCTAAAGGGTTAAAATGATTCTTTTATATTTAAATTTAGAGGCCCATTAGTTTAATGGGAACCTCATCCAGTTTCTTGAGGTCCAAACAAAACACAAAGGTTATAGCAAGAAAAGGGTAAGAGAAAAAAGGGGGCACACACTAGAAACAAGTATAATAACCTTACTTGTGGTGGTGGTTGGAGTTGTGTCAATGCAATGCCAACTCTGTCGCTTCTAGTACCAACCACATGCAGGCCGACCATCCATCACCGCACCGCCTGCCTGCCTAATAACACAATCCAATCCACACGCACACAAAAGCACTAGACAAGTCAGCTTTATACATTCTATTCTATATCTATTCACCTTCCATTCTAATGGACAACAAATATAAGCCCTGATTGTGCTCTGGTAACAAGAAGGACAACATCCGCAGACATGCACTTTCCTATCAAATCATGGCATTACAAAATGTGACACTCACCCCAGTATTCACTTTCTCAACATCCTGCCTTAAGGAGGGTTTTAAAAGCCTACAAGATGGGGTTTTTGATCACGCAATGTGTCTTAATCAGATGGGGATTAAAGTTGTTGAGAGGAGCATCAACTTCTTAGTGCTCTTCCACCTGTGCTAAAAGGCTAACATATTAGGTTCTTATGCACACAATATTGCCACAATTGGCGAATCAGTTTCTAACTTCAAGTTCAACCATAATTTGTTTCGTTGAATTTCTATTGGAACACTCCCCTTTACCCACAAATCAAAATATCATCATACATGCTGTAAAGTTTTGATGTTCCTGAAAACAATGCTTTGACAAATTCCCGTATGTTCCTGAAGACAATAACAGTTTGCACTCAGTAAAAGTGGGGGAAATATGGAGATAGACGTTTCTGGAGTTGTTTCTGTAAAGGGTAGAAAAAAAAATTACAATATCGAGATATAGTCCTCTATACAAACAACCCATAAGTTGGAACAGAGTTTGACCAAGATTTTTTCTTTTTTTTTTTCTTTTTTCTTCCCTAAATGAAAAAGGCCAAAATAAATAAAAGCTCATCTCCTGAGAAAAGGCTACAAGGATTGAAGAAAGTAGGACAATAAGTCTCGTGATCCGATACAAAGGTTTTTGGAACTGTAACAAAAAAAAAAAAAAAAAAAAAAAAAAAAAAAAAAAAAAAAAAAAAAAAAAAAAAAAAAA